CATCAATGCTTTTTACTGAACTAGATAGAGTAATTGCATACATGTAACCACTTACTCCCTGGAACTAATAATGCAATCAGAATTCAAGTAAGACCTTATCGTGTCCCAAAGTCCCTCCAGGCCTGGATCTAACTGGTTTAATGTAGCCGCTGCTCCTTCCATACCGACCAGCTCGATAAATTCTTCCAGCCGACTGGTTAGACTAAAACAAGATGGGCTTCGAATCTTCCAGTTCATGACAATTTTTCTTTTAGCAGCAAGACAACCGAGTGTTATATATTTAATTTCCATTGCAGATAACCCCTCTTTTTTATTTCCTAAAATGCAAAATGTAGGACATTTAGGAAAATCAACCTGGAAGGTCTCTGAAAGAGCAGCTGTTACGTCAGACCAGAAGGAATACACTGCAGGACATTCCCACAGACAGTGCATCAGGGTGCCTCTACCACCGCAGCCATGCCAGCATTTGTCTGTCAGTGCAGCATCCATTTTGTTACATTTTACAGGGGTAATATATACCCTATGCAAATTTTTTAATTGAATTATTCTGTATCGGACAAACTTTGATACTATTGATGTATTCCATATTCTTTTCCACTTGGCTGCGGTAAGAGGGACACCCGTATCTTTTTCCCAACAAAGTTGTATTGATGACTTAACCTGATCTGTGGGTAGGCTCAAAAGTTTATATTTGACCTGACCTTTCCTGACTGTAATATCCTGTAGTTCATTGTCTATATCCTTCTGTTGCCATTGGCACCCCCTTAGACATTTTGGCTTTAATTATGGAAAATAATTGTTGAAAAAACAAAAAGGAGGCGTTGTTTAAATTATATTGTTCCTTTAGTTTACTGAATGTTAACTAATATCTTCTAGATGTTTAATGCCAGAGTTCTGCCACATGGTGTTGACTAGTGGTTTTCCTCCTGCCAAAAATAAGGGGTTGTGCCAAAGAAGGCAGGAGGGAAGAGCAGTTCCTGTAATTTTAAGCCTTTTATGGATCAATTTAATAATTCCACAAGAGTAATGGATAATAGGATTGTCCAGCCCAGCTGGAGTATTAGGATAAAACCATAAAGATGTCAAAGATATTTTATTATTTAGACTAGCAATAATTTGACCCTCAACCCATTCCCAGCTTTCTGTTATATTAGAGTTACCATATTCCCATGTGATAGTATATCTGGTGTTAAAAGCCAAGCAATATTGGTAAATGTCTGGCACGGCCAGTCCACCCTGATGTCTGGGCATTGAAAGTTTCTTTAAGCTTATTCTAGGTTTTTTATTGCTCCACAAAAAGGATGAAAACAAAAATTTCAATTCCTTAAACCAGCTTGTTAGAAACTGCATGGGTAGGGCTGATATAATGAATGCTAGTCTTGGAAGAATGTTCATCTTCAGTACCTCAGCTCTCTCCCATAGAGACATAGGTAAAGAGGACCATCTCTTTAAATCGTCTTTTATTTTCCTCAATAGGTCTGGGGCGTTTAATTCATAGATTTTTGAAATAGGAGCTATGATGTTAATGCCCAAATATTTCATTCCATTCGTTTTCCACGAGAATGGTGCATTTCCCAGGTCTGAGGAAAATGTGTTGCGGTTAAGAGGAATTGCCTCGCTTTTACTCCAGTTTATTTTATAGCCTGAAAAACTGCTGAAGGAATTGATAAGGCTCAACACTTCTGGAATAGACTGTGTAAGTTTGCTTAAAGTTAATAAAACGTCACCTGTATATAAACTAGATTTAAAATTATAGCCTCCTATTTCTATGGCAACAATTTTAGGATTGTTGCGTATGGCAGATGCCAGAGGTTCTAGGGCTAAAATAAAAAGTAACGGTGAGACTGGACAACCCTGGCGTGTAGAGCGAGTAAGGCAGAAAGGTTTAGACATAATACCACTGGTTTTCACAGAAGACATGGCACCACTGTATAGTGATTTGACCCATTTCAAAAGATTTGGACCAAAGCCAAATTCAGACAGAGTAAAGAAGAGGTATGGCCATTCTATCCGATCAAAAGCTTTCTCTGCGTCCAGTGATACAGCTACTGCTGGACTACAGAGAGAGCTTGCTTTATGAATAATATGGTAGAGTCTTCTCATGTTGTTTGATGATAATCGCCCCGTAACAAAACCTGACTGGTCAAGATGGATTAAGGAGGGTATAACCTTAGACAGCCTTATAGCCAAAATTTTGGCATAAGTCTTGTAGTCATTGTTGAGAATGCTTACCGGACGCCAACTTGTAGTCTCCAACAGATCTTTGCTAGATTTTGGCAATAGTGAAATATTGGCAAGACACATGGATAAAGGCATCTCCTGATGTTCTACTATGTCATCATACAGTTTACAAAGAAGAGGAGACAACACACCTTGAAAACATGTATAATATTCCATAGTAAAACCATCTTCACCAGGGGCTTTTCCAGAGGATAATGCTTTTAAAGCTTGTTGGATCTCCTTTTCTGAAATGAGCACTTCTAAAGCCGATATTTCATGTACTTCAATGGAGGGAAGATTTAAATCAGTAAAAAAGGCTTCCATTTCAGAAATGTTTGTCTCACCTTCTGAGGTATATAATTCAGAATAATACTCCCTGAATTTGTCATTTATATCCTCTGGGTCTCTGATAACTGATCCATCTTTATTATTAATTGATGATATAGCTTGGCTATTCTCTATTTGTTTCAGTCTAACATCTCGCCTGCTTTATCACCCGATTCAAAGGATTTACTCCGTAATCTATACAATATGCAGTTTCCTTATGAATAATAGTTTGAAGTTCTGATTTAACTAAAAATAACTTTTTTCAAACTCAGATCATCTGGGTTCTCCATGTGTTTTCCTTCTAGCTCTTTACATAATGTCTGCAAATTGTGTTTCTTAGCAATACTCTGTTTCTTTTTAATTGTCGAGTAGCTGATTATCCTGCCGCTTTCAAAGCTTCCCAAACCGTTTGTGTGGGTGTAACTGAGTTTATATTTAATGTGATAAATTCAGAAATCCTATGTTTAATAAGAGACAGTGTCTCTTATCAGGTAAGTTGGGTTTTAAACATACCCGTGCTCGTGTGGACTAGGCCTGACACACACCGGGTTCTCATGTTCTGCTGCTGCTGCCGGTTCACATGACAACGGTACCGTAACACTGACGTCACTCAGGTGCGAACAAACTCACCTGCGGTCGGTTGGTCCATGAGCGGTTTGTGGAGCGCGCAGAGCAGCGCGTGCTGACGGGAGATGACTTCCTGACATAGAGCCGCTTCTTCTTCATATTTAACGACGGTTTTCTCAAACACCGTCAGAATCTCCTCGAGCGTCGCGTTCAGCCGCTCAGTGACGAAGATCCGGAACTTCTGGACCCGGGACATGTTCACACCGAGAGACGAGACACACCGGAACAGAACCGGGACGCTGCTGATGCTAACAGCTAGCGGTGCTAACGGAGCAGGCTTTGTTCCTGCAACACGACGATTTCCGGTGGCCTTCACAATAAAAGCACCAGCTCAAAAACAAATGAAAACTGAAGATGTTATGATAGAGTTTTATTTATTTTTATGTATTTATAATTAAACAACAACTAGAAACATTTCAGCCTGTTAATAATTATATAACACTAAATAACAGTCTGATCCACACAACATGAATCAAGTTAGGGGCTGTTCCTTATTTTTTGGGGGGCATGTCAAAAAAATTTAAAAACAGAGGAGGGGCCTGTGTTTTTTACTTTGTCTGAGGGGCGGGACTTCCAGATTTAAGTGGTTGTCTTTTGTTATTATTTTACGCAATTTTTTAAGAAAACTTCGAATCAAAGGGTAAAGTGTACCTTTAATCAAAGCCACGTTGCTTGGCCAAATAAACACCTGCTAATGAGCTAATGTTAGCATGCTAACACATTAAACCTACATGGTGTACATGAATCCTGAGCTAATGTTAGCATACTATCACATCAGACTAACATGGTGAACGTGAATCCTGAGCTAAGGTTAGCATGCTAACACATCAAACTAACACAGTGAACATGAAGCTTGAGTTAATGATAGCATGCTAACACATCAAACTAACACGAACATGAAGCTTGAGCTAATGTTAGCATGCTAACACATCAATCTAACATAAACATGAAGCCTGAGCTAATGTTAGCATGCAAACACATCAAACTAACACAGTAAACGTGAATCCTGAGCTAATGGTAGCATGCTAACACTTTAAACTAACACGGTGAACGTGAAGTCCGAGCTAATGTTAGCATGCTATCACATCAAACTAACACGATGAACATGAAGCTTGAGCTAATGATGGCATGCTAACACATCAAAATAACACTGTGAACGTGAATCCTGACCCAATGTTAGCATGCTAACACATCAAACTAACATAAACATGAAGCCTGAGCTAATGTTAGCATGCTAACACATCAAATTACCATGAACATAAAGTCTGAGCTAATGTTAGCACGGCAGTAGCTCAGCTGGGTTGGGAACCGGAGGGTCGCCTGTTCGAGTCCCCGTCCGGACCAAATATGGAGCGTGGACTGGTGGCTGGAGAGGTGCCAGTTCACCTCCTGCCCTTGAGCAAGGCACTGAACCCCCCAACCGCTCGGGGCGCCTGACCAATGGCAGCCCCCTCACTCTGACATCTCTCCACTTTGTGCATGTATAGGTCCTGTTTGTGCATGTGTGTGTCTTTCGGACCTGTGTGTAATTGACAAGCAAGAGTGAAAACATTGAATTTCCCCTCAGGGGGATTAATAAAGGAAATAAACTTAAACTTAAAACATCAAACTAACATGAACATGAATCCTGACACATCAAACTTTGATGTAAGCTACTGTCATTGCCGTCTGTCCTGCATCTCTCTCTCTGTCTCTCTCTCTCTCTCTCTCTCTCTCTCTCTCTC